TCCCGATTCCCCCTGCGGCCCGCCGGGTTGGCCCGTACCAACCCAGATCAGCCCTCTGCGGTTCCCCCTGCGGCTAGCCCGTTTAGGCCTGGTTTTAATACGAGCTTAAATTTTTAAGCCCAGCCCGTCCCATATTTTAAAAAAAATGAGCTGACCCGACGGGCCAAGTCCATTTTGACAGGTCTACATCTGAATATGGGGCTGGGTGGGAAAAGAACAGAAAAAGAAATAAAAACAAGATAAAAGCAGGGACAAAATTACTCTGCCAACCCTAACTCGGCTGCACTTGGACAAAAAGAGTACATTGGACACAAAATTTTGGATAATCTATACAAGGCAGTATATCTAGCATGCTATTTCTACACTGTACAACCAGGCCGAATCAAACTCAACAGTCAAATAATACCTTCCCCTTGTGTAGAAAAAGAATATTGAAATAGCAAAGTTCACTTTAATGTATGAAACTTGGTAAACGAGGAATGAGCCATCATTAACAGGATGCATTGATCACCCTACTCGTGCAAACCTAATGAGCCAAATTTCACTTTAATATATGAAGCTCTGTAAACCAGGAATAAGCCATCGTTCATGGGATGCATCAATCACCCCACTGGCAGCTAATTCAATCAGTTGGGACACGCATTCCAACCACCTAATAGTTAAGTTTACCACTAGAGTTGAGAGATGATGGCTATTCTGAATATAGCAGTTTCAGAGCTCTGGGCTTACTGGATGATGATAGATAAGATGAACTGTTCCCACTGTTGGTTACGTCCGGAAACCTTGGCAACCCAGTACTAACATCAGGACCTGAGTTTGTAGTCCTATGTTGGGACTCCACATCAGAGTCAACTTCACCAAGCATCTAGAACAGGCAAACCAATATGCTCAGTCAAAAGAGACAAATATGATAAATGACAGCTCAAGAGTCCAACAACTGACAAGAAAAAGATGTAAATCTCAATGTAGATCTCTTCAAACTTAAGAAACTAGAAACATATATAAAAAGGGAAACAACTTTAAATATTGAAGAAACTTCTTTCAAATCAAAGAAAATGGCTGGCCATATATATATATATGGGTTTCCCTCCTCAATGATAAACAAAATTAAAGTAACTACAAACCTTAACAGCTTGCCGCAAAACACGCAACATTTCTTGGGCATGCTTTCTTCTTGCAGCAACCTCATCCTGCTCCTGTAATAGTTCTTCAAAAAGGTTCTCTCTGCATATTTCACCATACCAGACATGCTAAATTTTCAAACCATTTATACTATGACTTGAACTGGACACATACCAACATCCCCACTACAAGAACAATCAAATGGGGGAAAAAAAAAAGAAAACTATATTCATATGAAGTGCCAGGATTTCATTATTTATACTCTACATGTGAATGCACAAACACATGTATCATGCAGACATTCCTGAAGATTAAAATTTGAAGACTTCAGGTAATCAGAATAATTCCATCCTTATCCTCTTTCCTTTAAACACATTTTATTCTCTTAATGAGTTGAAACCTAAACCAGAGGCTAGAATTATTTTAGGAGCTCATACAGGAAAATAATCCCAGGCACAACTACTGAGTGACAAAAGAACTTTTTCCATTTTGCTTATTCTTTAAACTGAAAATAAAACATGATATACTTTAAAACACACCATCAACCAAAAGCAAGAGACATACCTGTACAATATTTGTATAAAAGTGTTATGAAGGTTCCTTTTTGTATGATTGACCTGGCACATTGATAAGAAGGGGAAAAAGATTATCTTAATTTAGAGTTATTAGAATAAAAGTTTAAAATTGACCAACCGGACAGGAAAAAAAAGTATTACCAGAAAGTGCATTATAGCTTTTGGCACTAAGTCTTGAATGTTCTTCCGGACTAAATCAAAGTAGGATTGCACAAGTAATTTAGTGATAATGATTTCCGTTGCTTCATTCTCTGACATTTCAAGTGGTCTTAAGATTGAGGGAGGCTGAGAATCAAGGGCAAAGATAAAGGAACTGATGTTAAGCTAGATAAATTGCCATATAGAAACAAAGCACTCTCCCCTATCTAACTCAAAAAGATACCTATCTCTTGAATTATGTATATACCTCACACAGTTGGATTGTTGATGACCTCTGCTCTACTTCATGAAGAGTTTCTACAGGAGATCCATTAGCTGGACTCTCTACAGATGATGACTTGCTCCCAAATATTGATGAAATACCCCAAGTCCTTAGAGATGAACTACCACCTACATAAAAGTTACCGAAGTTAATGTTCATGTAATAAATAGCCTTAGAAACTGCTTATGTCAAGGCCATCTATGTCCACATCATAAACTTGCTCAGAAAATTCAGAATAAGGGTAAACTTTTTGTGTAACTATGCACCTAAGTTTACCTTTGAACCAACCTTTGTTCTCAAAACTACATATACTATGCTTCAAAAAGAAAAGCTACAAATATTATATTAATGACTTTTTCTTTTAAGTACATAACACAGAGGAAGGGTTTAAAACTCCTTAAGTGACATTAGCTATGAGATGTATCAAATGTACTACAAAATACACCCATCTTATATAATATCTTCTGCCAAGTGGAAGGTTACTATACATATTATACAAATCTATATTGCAAAACGTTCTTAATACACTGAAACATTCTGACACAAACCAATCACAAACACAGAAAAAAGAAATTTCATATTTTCTTCTCAAAATATAAAAGAAAAATCACCACAATTTCACCACTGCACCCAAATTTTCCCTTATCATAAAAGATTAGTTAATCAGTCATAATACGTATCATATGAGAAAGCAAAGAAAAATAAATGAAAGACAAACGAACTTGACTGATCTTCAAATTAGAGTTAATTACCGGCTAATGCAGGTCTCTCATTATTTGACTGAGGACGATTTCCCTGTCAAAATGCCAGCATAGAATGAGTACTCTGAAGGTAATTGGTAAGCATGACACCCCTAGATATGAACTTTCTATATTGTGATTTCTATAGTTCTTTCCTCTTTTTCCTCTTCTTTTCTTCAAATGATCCTTGTTAAATTTAACCCAATTCTATCATCAAGATGTTACCGCAGTTTGAATCATGATGCAACAACTGCCCCTAGCTTAAGATTGTTCCTCACAAAAATTAAGGATCCCCATGTGATATACAGCACGATGGAATTTTCATATAGCATTAAAAGGGTTTTAATCACATGTACAAACACTGGTAGGCATGATGCATTCAAGTCCAGCACACTAAGGGTTCATTCTCAATCAAATACTCAAAAATATATGAACTTGACAAGTTGAGGATATGCACGTCACATGATGAAGGGCTTAGATTAAGACTCTGTTTTAAGACTTCAAGGAGATGAACCTAAGGGCCTGGATGAAGCTTGTTTGTTATGGTGCTCAACAAGAAAATTCACCTATTACCAACAAGGAAAATGGATACCACCATATGTTGGCACTAACGGATAGGAAAACTAATATATCATAAAATAAATGCCTGAAGTTTGGAGAACTTTATGGTTTAGCAATTTCATTTTAGGAAAATTCACCCCCTTCTCTTTTGTCCTTCCTCCCTAACTGCAGTTGTCTTACCAGAAAAAATAAAATAAAAAAGTAAAAACAGACACCTGGTTAGGCGCACCATTCACAACCGGTTTAGCAGCAACAGTCCAGGATAGCTGGCTCCTTTCAGACATAGGTACCCTTTCAATATCCACTCTCTCCTGAATGATATGAAGATGAAGTAAAAAATGTCTATATCAGGTAGAAAGTTGACAACTAGACATCTGCATACCCATTCTTTGTTGTAAAAATCATATAATAATGAGAATTGGGAAACCATGTAACAATCATATAGTTGTAAACATAGATTTGTAGTTATTAAATTCAAATAGATTTTATTACATTGAATCAACCTTAGAGACAGATACCTTACCAACTTACCAATCATGTGCTATTCAATTCTGTATAATAGAACAAATGTCACAAGGTAAGCTTTCATAAAATATTTAACTTTCCATCCCTCCACATCCTTCAGATTCAAATTCAAACTTGACTTGTATCTTCCATATTCAGTCTCACACGTGAAATGAATGTTGAAACAAAGAGAGTAACCTAAACCTACAAACTGATGCTAAAGGGGTAAACCTCTACCCTACAGCCACATCAACGCATTCAAAGTTAAGCTAATTCATTAAACTGCATATTTCATTGGCAGATTGATTCAATTGATGTGGCAGCTGTACCTGTGATGATCTCATCTGCTGCACAGCAAGCTCAACAGCTTTGTTCCCACCAATAAAACTTGGATGTGAAGAATTTATATAATCCATCTGATATTTTAAAAAGATAAAAACACATAAAATTTTATAATCATCGATGATAGAAAAAGTGAAATACATGATAGCCATATAAGACATGGTAGCTTATATCTTAGTAGGTGAATCATAAAAGGGTGTGTAATATAAAATCCAGCATGCTAAACTTGTCAAACTTGTTGATCAACCAAGGTACAGTTCCTTTCTATGAGACACAAAAGAATAAAGGACTAAATTGCTTTCATATCAAATGGAATTAAAAGACCAAAGCAAACTAGTTGAACTTGTTGATCAACCAAGGAATAGTTGCTTTCTATGAGAAACACAAGAATAAAGGACTAAACATCAAATGGAATTAAAAGACCAAAGCAGAAAAATTCATACCCACCAAGAACTGCTAAAGACTAACAGTTGTGCTAAATTTGCTACGCTAAAGAAGGTGCTAACAGTAGGAATTGACCATGATTTCCTCTCCCAACTCCCCTCTCAAGGAAAATGCATATGAATGGCAACTGATTATGTTCAAATATTAACAAAGACATTAAGTAGCAAAATACCATAAGAGCATTACCCAAGAAAATTGATGCAGGCGCATCAAGAATTCTATTTTGTTTAGTATTTTCATTAGCTTAGGATTTTATTGTCTTTATTTTATTTAGTTCGAGATTTTTTTCCCTATCTTTATTAGAATTTTAGTACTTTAGGTCTTTATTTAGGATTAGGATTACTATTTGATTAGGATTTATCTTAGCTATTATAAATAGGTGATCTTAAATAAAAGATTATTATTATCATCTTTTGTTATTTTGAATATTTATTCAAGAGGTTTCTTTTAAAAACCCAATTATCTTTCTATTGTTCCAACACAATCAACCGTATTCTAGCCCTAATTGTTGAGTTCTAATTAATCTAAACCCTTTGACTACATCAAGTGGTATCAGAGCAAACGATCTTACTATCCTAAAAGGATTTTAGCTAGGAGACTATGGTTGGCTGAGGCAGAGGTCGAGGTAGCGGCAATCAGCCCCAACAAGCTAAGTTGGCAGAGATGCGGAGAATGATTGATGACTTAACTTGGGTTGTGCAAGCCTTGCAGCGTTAGGAACCTGTGGAAGCCCGAATGGAGAATCCAGAAGGTGACCACAGCCCCTTTAAGATTCAAGATCTTGAGGATGATGATGAATTTGAGAACGAGAACCCCTTTCATG